GAAGCAGCTGAAGATGGTTGGGCCAAGAACACTACCCAGAAGAACATCTGCAGAGATGTCCTGGAGCTAAGATGACTGACCTTGAACAAACACAACCAGGCCCGACCAGTCCCCCTCCACTGATACCCTCATCCACTTAGCCGAACTCGTCCTCACACTCAACAACTTCTCTTTCAATTCCTCCCACTTCCTACAGACAAAGGGGGTAGCCATGGGTACCCGCATGGGCCCAAGCTACGCCTGCCTCTTTGTAGGTTACGTGGAACAATCCGGCTTCCGTACCTACACCGGCCCTAAACCCCACCTCTTCCTCCGTTACATTGATGACTGTATCGGCGCCGCCTCGTGCTCCCACGAGGAGCTCGAACAGTTCATACACTTCACTAACACCTTCTACCCCAACCTTAAGTTTACCTGGACCATCTCTAACACCTCTCTCCCCTTCCTGGACCTCTCTGTCTCCATATCGGGCAACCACCTAGAAACCGATATTCATTTCAAGCCCACCGACTCCCACAGCTACCTAGAATACTCCTCCTCCCACCCACCTTCCTGCAAAAATGCTATCCCCTATTCCCAATTCCTTCGCCTCCGCCGCATCTGCTCCCAGGATGAGGCATTCCACTCCCGTACATCTCAGTTGTCCTCGTTTTTCAAGGACCGTAACTTCCCCTCCTCGGTGGTCGAGAACGCCCTCAACCGTGTCTCCCACATCTCCCGCACCTCATCCCTCACACCCCGTCCACGCAATAAAAACCAAAAAAGAATCCCCCTCGTCCTCACGTACCACCCCACCAACCTCCGGATCCAACGCATCATCCTCCGACACTTCCGCCATCTGCAATCCGACCCCACCACCAAAGACATCTTTCCCTCCCCACCCTTATCTGCTTTCCGGAGGGACAACTCTCTCCGTGACTCCCTTGTCCGCTCCACACTCCCCTCCAGCTCCACCACACCCGGCACTTTTCCCTGCAACCGCAGGAAGTGCTACACCTGCCCCCATACCTCCTCCCTCACCCCCATCCCAGGCCCCAAGAAGACTTTCCACATCAAGCAGATGTTCACCTGCACATCTGCCAATGTGGTATACTGCATCCGCTGTACCCGGTGTGGCTTCCTCTACATCGGGGAAACCAAGCGGAGACTCGGGGACCGCTTTGCAGAACACCTACGCTCGGTTCGCAACAAACAACTGCACCTCCCAGTCGCGAACCATTTCAACTCCCCCTCCCATTCCTCAGACGACATGTCCATCCTGGGCCTCCTGCAGTGCCACAACGATGCCACCCGAAGGTTGCAGGAACAGCAACTCATATTCCGCTTGGGAACCCTGCAGCCCAATGGTATCAATGTGGATTTCACAAGTTTCAAAATCTCCCCTCCCCCCACCGCATCCCAAAACCAGTCCAACTCGTCCCTGCCTCCCTAACCTGTTCTTCCTCCCACCTATCCCCTCCTCCCACCTCAAGCCGCACCTCCATCTCCTACCGACCAACCTCATCCCGCCCCCTTGACCTGTCCGTCCTCCCTGGACTGACCTATCCCCTTCCTAACTCCCTACCTACACTCACCTTTCCTGGCTCCATCCCCGCCTCTTCGACCTGTTTGTTTCCTCTCCACCTATCCTCTCCTCTATCCATCTTCTATCCGCCTCCCACTCTCTCCCTATTTATTTCAGAACCCCCTTCCCCTCCCCCTTTTCTGATGAAGGGTCTAGGCCCGAAACGTCAGCCTCTCTGCTCCTATGATGCTGCTTGGCCTGCTGTGTTCATCCAGCCCTGCACCTTGTTGTCTCACATTCCTAAGTGCCAGGTATGACTCCAACCAGAGGAAAGTTGGTCACCTGATTCCCATTGATTCCAGTTTTGCTGGGGTTCCTTGATGCCACACTCAGTCAAATGCAACCTTGATATCAAGGGCTGTCACTCTTACCTCACCTCTGGAATTCAACTCTTTTGTCCATGTTTGAACCAAGGCTGTAATGCAGTGAGGAGCTGAGTGGCCCTGGTGGAACCCAAATTGGGCATCAGTGAACAGATTATCGCTAAGTAGGTGCTACTGGATAGCACTGTTGATGATACCTTCCATCACATTAGTGATGATCAAGATTAGAGAGATGGGGCAGTAATTGGCAGGTTTGGTTTCATTCTACTTCTTGTGTACAGGACATACCTGGGCAATTTTCCACATTGTTGGGTAGATGTCAGTGTTGTAGCCGTACTGAAACAGGTTGGTTAAGGGAGCAGTACGTTCTTGAGCACAGGTCTCCAGTACTATTGCCGGAATTTTGTCAGGGCCATTATCCTTTGCAATGAGTACTATCTACAAGATGCACTGCAGAAATTCACCAAAGATCCTCAGACAGTACCCTCCAAACCCATGACCACTTCTATCTAGAAGGACAAGGGCAGCAGATAAAAAAGGAACACCGCCACCTCAAGTTCCCCTCCAAGCCACTCACCATCCTGACTTGGAAATATATCACCGTTCTTTCACTGTTGGTAGGTCAAAGTTCTGGAATTCCCTCTCTAATGGCATTGTGGGTCAACCCACAGCAGGCGAACTGTAGCTGTTCAAGAAGGCAGCTCACCACCACTTTCTCAAGGGCAACTAGGAATGGCCAATAAATTCTGGCCAGTCAGCAACACCCACAATCCACAAAATAATTTTTTTTAAAAAATCCAGTGTCTCCAACTATTTCTTGATATCATGTGAAGTAAATCAAATTGGCTCTAGACAGGCATCTAGAATCGTTTTGAACTGTTTAGGTGATCCATTCCAAACTTTTTTTCACAAAATAAGAATCTTCAATGCTCAGATCTGAAGGACCATTAGTGACTAATAAATCTAATGAATAATTCAGGAGAAAATCTTTACTCTGAGAGTGTAAGAATGTGAAACTCAATACTGCAGAGCAGTAGTTGAAGTGAATAACAGATGCAGTTAAGGGAAAGCTTGATAAATATGAAAAGGGAAACGGAACAGAAAAAATGTAGAGAAGGTGGCAATGAAGAGGGGTGAGAGAAGTTACATTTGGAGTATAAACAAAAGCACAGAATTAGTTAGGCTGAATATCTGTTCTTATAATTTTATCTAATTTGTAAAAGCATTTCTTCTGTTTCAACAAACCTCTACCTCAAAAAATACCTGGAAGTTCAGTACTGCAAGTTCTTCTATTTTCCACGGCCCCTAAAAGTGCAATCTTCAGGCAGTTCCGTCTGAAGCAGCATTACATTCACCAACAGGCCTGGTCAAACTGCACCAAACCAGTTCATGTCAGACACTCCACCAGAAAACATTGATGATCCAAATAGTCTGAGTTTGATGTGGGAAAGGAACCCGCTGAACCATCTCTGCACAATGCTAGATTTTAAAACTTTCGCATTTCCTCACAAAAGAGTTTATTGGAAGATGGAAGGCAGAAGGAAATCATAATAGTTATCTTCATTTCAGATATGCTGAACAACTGACGCAGCTTATCGGCCATGGGTTTTCATTGCTGGTTTAAAATAGAGCCCAATCTATCCAGTAAGATCACGAGCAGTTACTGTCATCATTAATTCATCAAGGACATTAGCGAACCATGGGCATAGGCAAGCATTGACATGGGTAAACACAGACATGGGTGAATCTGGGCACAGGTGAACACGGACACAGGCAAACATGGACATGGATGAATTTGGGCACTGGTTATCATAGGCATAGGTAAGAGTTGTGGCAAGGAGATTGACTCAGAAACGTAAAGATCCCTAGCTTATGACCCAGGAGTCAGTCAGCTGAACATACTTGCCATTCAACTACACTGCTGCTGAGCTGCTCACACATAATGTGCCCAATGAGACAAGACTGGTATTCCGAGCATGTGCTGGCATTTACAAACTGTTAGGAACTTTCCTTCAGTGTCTACGCCTTACACACTGAATAATATTTTCCTTTTCCATCTCTTTAAGTTTTCAGGGTAAAATGTTGAAGTCCTGTTTTCAGCCCAGTCTTTGCTAAGCAAAGAGTAATCCCAAACTGACTTATGGAGTCTGAGTGATTTTATTTTCACAACAGCTCAACACAAATGGAACCTAAATCCGTGGTCCCAACCTGCTCAAATATAGCTGGGTATGAGTTGCGCTATTTATTTCTGGGCAAGAGTACAATACACTAGCTCATAGATTTAAATCTCACAAGAGGTTCAGTGTTTCCCACAAACCTTGAAGACAACCTTACTTTATATACGAACATTTCTGTAAAACACAAATCACTGAATATAATCTCTCTCACATATAAAGTTACACATTAAGTCAACCACTGGGTCTAAAATTCTTGTCAAGGGGAGTTTTCAGGAGACTGCCAAGTTCCGGGCGAAGCCTGTTTTGTTGCTGGTCCAATGATGACCCAATGGGGCCGGGGGCAAACACAGAAAAAAGACAGGTTTGGATGATAACGCAAAGCTTGAGCGGTATGTCTCCAGTGGACACAGGTCACCGGGCGTTGGGAGATCAATTTTCGAAGTTTATTCAGAATCAGTTTATCAATCCTTATGTGCAAGCTGGAATAAACACTTACAATTAAATTCGTTAAACGTGACACAACAAACAAACTCTGGCGCTTCCACCAGCACCGACAGTTCAACAGCTAAACTTCCAAACGCACACACAGACTGAAAACAAAACACCCACATCTTTTCTGGATTTAGAAGCAGGTTTTAAAACTCTAGCACATATTGTAATATGTATTTGCTTAAAATACGCCACCACTATAAATGTACTTTAAAATACAGGGCAGTTTTTAAACATTGCAAATGTCGAGACTCGGAGATGCACAATGGTGTTATTTGAATATTCTTGCAATGACAGTGGCGGGCAGTTTGTAAAGATTGTAGTGTACAGAGAGATGGAGTGTTGTGGACGGAATGACTGCCAGTTCCGTACTAGGCGGCATTGGCACAGAGCACGGCCGGTTTTGAGGGAGTTGGAGCAGTGTGTATGGGACTGTTGGTTACTCACATGAAAGCATGATAAATGAACGCCCATCCCCGCGGTCTCTCCAACACGTTGTACAGACAGTTCTGAAGCTTTCGGTAGCGGGCATTCCTCTTGTTGCCGTGTTTGAGGGGCAGCGGTCTGCCCAGCAGCCCGACGCGGGCACTCTGCACACTGTCCCCAGGCAATCCGGCCAGGACCAACCTCTCTCCATCGCCAGGCTGAGGTGCCAGCCTCAGGCGGCTGCCCTGGTGTCTCTCCCCGGGGCTCGCAGCCACCCCGTCCCGGCCTGAGGACCCACTCTCTACCGCCGTCAGCCCCACGAACTCCACTCGCTTTTCGTCGGCCATGCCGCCGGCATCTGCGTGGTTCCGGGGCATCGAGACCGCGGACTCCAGCGGGAAGGGAGCGCCGCCGCCCCTGGAGAGCCCCAACTCGGCTTGACCATGCGCCAGGAGTCCGCTCTCCTTGCGCCCTCTCACTGCTCAGAGGCACCCTTCAGAACATTATGCAACTGTGTGTACAGCCAAGTATCAGAGTGATGGGCAGCAATCTCAGATTTCAGGAGTTTCACATCCCAGAGAGATCTTCCTGAAGGATGGAGTTGTGTCTTCACTTGCTGTGAGTCTCTCTCACTGCCTTATTCAGCTACAATCGCCAGCATTGGCTCTCACACAAACACCAGTCTCCCGCTCTCTCTCTCTCTCTGTCCCACTCTGGGCTTTTCACTCTAACTTCAACATCATTGAAACTTCACAGCAACACACACCGCTCCTACTGTCACTCCACCTGTCATCCATCAAACTGACATCCCCGCTCTCTAGAGCCTTGATTCCAGCTCCGCCTTCCCCTCATCGACTACACCCCCTCCCCGCTTTTGCAGCTTTCCTCAGCCTCCAGGCTCCTCCCTCATCAGCACATTGCACAGAAAGCTCAGAGGGAGCGCGTCCTGCACTAACAGAGTTCTAACTGCTGGTTCTGGCCTCGGGGAGAGCAGCGCCTCAGGATGAAGCCTCTGCCCTGCAGGAGCAGCTTCGCTTCAGGTATTTACACAAAAGAACATCAAAACTACGAAGGAAATAAAGATTCGTTTCTCCATGTAATTCAGTGTTCATAATTAACCAGTTATAGGCACAATGCTCATAGCCTCTCCACTTACAAAACTCCTCCAAATCTTACCAAGAACAAGATACACGTTTGTAATGATCCAGAATCTTTGCCCATGTTTACAGAAATTGACTACTCGCGGAGAATTACCATTACCAGAAAGCTGCAGGTCAATATAAATCCGTATAAACCTCCAAATGTATTTCATGTACTTCAGTACTTTTTGCAGGGAAAGTGCTGTAAGTTTTGGTTAGACTGCAGGCTGTGTTTATTTTGGGAGAGATGCTGAATTTTTACCGACATGACGCTGATAGATTCCAGTGTGGGATACTGGAAGTATTCCCTGACTATCTGCGTGCTTTCAGCATTATCACTGGAACTAAGCTCAGACCCATGAGTTACTCTCAGTCAATGTCACTTTCTGTCTGTACTGCCCCAACCGGGGCAGCCCAGTATCACCCGGGTCAGGCCAGAAATAGCACCATCTACAGGACCTGGACCACATTACTATTTCCTCCCTGCACTCACAACAAGGAGTTGTGATGTTAGTTCATGCCAACTCAGTACTGGATTCATTTCTTTAGAGGTCATTTCAGAATTTAAAGACATTCTCAGCCCATGAGTTGAAAATATTCAATACCAATCAACTCATTCAATCTGTAACTCACTCCCGCGTATCTATTATTCCAAAGATAAAACACCAAATCCCACGATTAGATTCCAGGCTGTAACTCGCTCCCGGGTATCCGTTATTCTATCTATCTATATATATAAAATCCCTGAACCCCTCGATTAGATTCCAAATTGTAACTCACTCCCGGATATCATCTACATATAACCACACGCACCGACCCCTCCATTAGATTCCAGTCTGTAACTCACTTGTGATTTCTGATCCTCTGTGTTTAAACCATTCTGAACCTCTCGATTACAGTTAAAGGTGTAACTCACTCCCGGGTTTCTGTTCTATTTATAAATCCCAAGAACCCTTGATTATATTCCATGCTGTAACTCACTCCCGGGTATCTGTTATTCTATATACATTAAACCCACCCTGAAGCCTTGTTTAGATTCCAGTCTATAACTCTGGGATTTTTTTTCATCTCCAGAAGACCTTTCATGCACAACTTAACGGTTTCTTTCCGCCATCAAATTAACCATGTTATCTTCTTCCTTGATCCTTCACCCCTGAATCGCCCCTGTTTTCTAGTTAAATTACCAAAGAACATGCAAAATGCATCATTGGCAGTGCAACTGTACCAAAAGTGAGCGAGAGGTAGAGAGAGAGAGCGGAGAATAAATCAAAATGGAATTGGAGGTAAAATAAGGCACTGCACCTCCTGCTGTACCCATCTCTTCTAAACACATCAGTGTTGGTGAACACTGTGTACTTCCTCGCAAATGATACTTGGGCACAAATGTAGCTGCAGAAAAGGGGAGGGCAGTTGGGAGTTATGACACGCCCCCTTTACGGCTCGCTGCCTGGATCTGTTAATGGTCACTTTGGCCAGGTCCAGGTGCAGATCCATGAGGAACAGGCACGATTTAAATACGTATGTTCAAAGGACTGAATTAGAGGTGTACATATAATCTCAGAGACTTGTGGGACCATAAGGGATTACAAAGATACAGAGTGGCAAAGAGAAAGAGAGATTTGAAAATAAGGATGGGAATTTTGAAATTAACTATTGTTTAACCGGGATTCTGTATGGGTCAATGAGTACAGGAATGATGGCTGAGCAGAATTATGGTGCAGTAAGAAATGGACAGCAGCATTTTGAATAATATCAGGAGGGTAGAATGTGGGAGATCAGCCTGCAGTGTGTTGGAATGGAAATATTTGGATGTAGTAAATGCTTGGATGAGCGTTTCAGCAGGGGATGAGCTGAGGCAGGGGTGGTGTCATGCAATGCTGTGCAGGTGGAAATCCTAATGTGCCTGATCTCAGTGTCAATGAAGACGTCAAGGATGTAAACCATTCAGCCTGAAACTGTTGCCAGGGCGAGGAATGGAGTTAGCAAGTAAGGACTGGAGTTTGTGATGGGGACTCAAGACTATATATTCAGACTTGCCAATGTTTAACTAGAGAAAATTTATTTATATTCAGTGGATATCAGTCTATTAGTATGATATCTGAGAGACAGTGGTGAAAGTGAGACAGTGGTAGTGAGTCATAATTGCACATCGTTGACGTACGTGTAAAAGTTGAAACTGCAGTTTTGGAAGATATGGTCCAACCATGCAACAGTTCTAGGAGCTGGAAGAAATTAGCAATAGGGAAGGGTAGATGGAGTCTGGGCTTAACAAGAGTGCGGCTGGATCAGGGATAGAGTCAGGATATGTTACAAAGGGTGAAAGCAAGACATCTTTGTGGTAGAGCAGATATTCAACAGCATAGGCATCACAAGCAAACCCAATCTTATTGTTGACCAATATTCGACACAGGGGTCCCTGGGTGATTTCTGTCCTCTCACCAGGAATGTTGAGGCACAGTGGAGTTATTTAAAGTCACCCCTTTCTCTAACCTAAGTTTATTGAGGACACTACTGCCACTACAGCATGGATAATCAACCTTCTGACAATGCTGGTTTCTGTGGGCAAAAGTTAGAGAGATATATAGCAAAATTTGGGGATGAATCATGTAGAACTGTTACAGGTGCTAAAATCTCTATAACCTAGATCATGGGGATCTCATTAAGGATGAAAAATAGGCTACAGTTTCAGGTACAGCTACTTAGTTTTTGGGTTCTCTAAGATCTAAGCATAAGTCACATCATAGAGGTTTTCACTGATTTTTGTTGGAATAGAAGGAGATTGTAATCACTTCAAGGTGAAGAACTTATTTTCACAGTCAGGGAACTGAACTGAGTTCCTTGCAGAGTTCAGCATCTATGGCTGGGATAGGAATGGGAGTTGGTAGTCTGGAGATGGATCATTGCCTGGTGAAGCTGGATTGTTGGCTGGAGTAGATAGAATGTAGGCAGGGGAGATTGTAGATAGGAAATTCTGGATGAATTCAAGTTAAAAGAGTTAATGGTAGTTGTCTTTTCCCTACGATGGGGGATTTCAACACTAGGTGGCACATTTTTAAGGTGAGAGGAAAGCGATTTAAAAAAGACACGAGGGGAAAATTTTTCACACAGAGGGTGGTTCGCATGTGAAATGAACATCCTGAGGAAGTGGATACAATTACAGCATTTAAAAAGCATTTGGATAAGTACATGAATAGGAAAGACTTGGAGGGATATGGGCCAGGAACAAGCAGGTGGGAGTAGTTTAGTTTGGGATTATGATTGGCATAGAATGGTTGGACCAAAGGGCCTGTGTCCATGCTGTATGACTCTATGACCCCAAGTGAGTCAGGAGTGCTGCTTAGTCTATTTACTAATGTTTACAGTTCTGTATTTTCTGATAAGTGACAAACAAAGAATATATTTGTACAAAGGAAACAATACACTGTGACTGATTGAAATGATTTACACTCCACATTATCCATCCCATGATGACTGACTCTTGCTGAGGTGCTATATAAATTAATCTAATGTTTTGATTCAATTCTTCTATGCTTAAGCTACATCCGATTTGAACACCTCAATCGTGTAGCTTTCCTCCCTGTTAGTTTACATTGATCTGCTTCAACTCAGTTAAAGTCTAACTTGTAACTCACACCAAATATCCATTAATCTATATATAAAGCCCCTGTAGTGTTGAGTAGGTTCCCACCTGTAATTCACTCCTGGGTAACTATTATTCTATATATATATATAAGGCATCCAAGCACCTCCAATAGATTCTTATCTTTGATCATTCCTGTATTTGATATATGTTGTCACTTGGAAATGCAGAAAATGGGATTTCATTATTAAAAGAAATTTTCTTTTTTGAATCAAATAAAACCATGGGACCCATTCATTCCCTGGTGCATTCTCCTCAGCAACTCCATGGCAACTGGAGCCAACATGGCACAGTGCCTCAGTGGTTAGCACTGCTGCCTCACAGCACCAGGGACCCAGGTTCAATGCCACCCTCCAGTGACTGTCTGTGTGGAGTTTGCACACATTCTCCCCATGTCTGTGTGGGTTTCCTCTGGGTGCTCTGGTTTCCTCCCACAGTCCAAAGATGTGCAGGTAAGGTGGATTGGCCATGCAAAATTGCCCATAGTATTCAGGGATGTGTAGCTTAGGTGGATTATAAGGGGATGGGTCTGGGTGGGATGCTCCAAGGGTCAGTGTGGACCTGTTGGGCCAAATGGCCTCTTTTGACACTGCAGAATTCAATGATTCATATAACATTCTTTGCTGATACAATGTATATGTTCTTCCCTTTAAATTTTGGCATTACAAACAAATGAAGTAGGAGCTGAAATAGACCATTTGGCCCCTTGAGCCTGCTCCAACTTCAATAAGGTCATCGATGATATGTTTGCATTTTGAATTCCACATTCCCATCCATCTGTGATGCCCTGCTTAACAAGAATCTATCTGTAGTAAAAACCGAAAAAAAACTGC